GTGTCTTTGACGGCGTTTTCCTAGAAGCAACCGCTGCGTAGGATGTCCAGTTATTTTTACCGTACGCTTGCTTGAGTTTTTTTGGTACTATCCACTGTCTGTTGTGCATTAGTGCCAGCATCTGGTGGTCATGGGCTATAGCATGTAGTGTAAATATGACAGAGTATCGTCAAGGCGCTTTTTGAATAGGGATAGGGTGGGTGCGTTAATTATATGTTCCGGGACGGTTTTCCAAGGCTGTGCCACTCGAAGGGAGAAAAGGTTTCTCCGACATTCCAGGCGGCTGTACTGCGTGACTAACTTAAACTGGTGACCTCTTAGCGGGGTGTTTTGACTGAGTATTGGAAGGGAATGGCATAGGTGATTGGGGTTTCTCACGATCTGGTACATCATTATGAGATCGCCCCTTAGACGCCGGTAAGGTCCACTGTATATGTTGAGGGACTTCAGCCTGAGTGGGTAGGGGAGGCTGGTCAAACCTCTGACGCTCTTCGTTGACCTACGTTGTGCAGTAACGAGTGCGGTGAGATGGTGCTTGAGCCCGGGTCGCCACGCTTGAATGGCGTACTCCGCGTGCGGCCTCATGTACGCACTATGCATTTTTGTAAAGACTGAAGGGTCAAACTTCACGAAAGCTCTGCGAAGTAGACCGAGGTACTGACTCGCTTTCTTAACTGCCTTTTCAATCTGCTGTCAAACAACCGAGGTCATCTTGAAGTATCACGCCAAGATTGCACTCGTGATAAGCCCGCTGTAGAATTTGTGGTCCTAGGCGGTAGTTGTGCATACATTTTTGCCGTATGCTGAGAACTTTGCACTTGGTGACGTTGAAATGCAGCATGTTCTCAATGGACCATGTGTACGCTTTGTCCAGGTCCTCCTGCAAAACTGCGTGGTCCTAAACGGCAGCTATAGTACGCCATAGCTTTAGATGATCAGCAAATAGCAATGGTTAGAAGATAGCACGCTGGCGAGATCATTTATGAAAACCAGGAACAGGCGGGGTCCAAGTACCGAGTCTTGAGGTACGCCGAACGGAACTTAGATGGATTCTGATAGGTTGCTTCTAACCCTCACATTCAGGTGAAGTTGCGCAAGAAAGTCTCCTATCCAGCCCAGAAGGGGATCACTGATTCCGTATTTCTGGAGTTTGTGGAGGAGAATGCGTTGGTCTAGACCGTCGAATGCTTTTGAGAAATCTAAGTAGGCCATGTCGACTCCTAAACCAGCGTGCACAGATACCGTCCAGCTTGCACGAGCAATCAACCGATTAATGGTACAGGAGCGATTTTGGTGAAAGCCGTGCAGCTCTGGAACGAGAATTTTGTTGTTCTCCAGGTACCCCATCAAAGCCTCAGCTACATTTGTATATTTGTACATTTGTGTACATGCTTGAGAGCTTCTCGGAGACCAAAAGTGTGTTAGATTGGACAGATGAAGCAAGCGAGTTTTTGCCGACCAATAAAGGGTCGGCGACTGATCGTTTTTTTGGATGGGTTGCATACTCTCGAGAAGTATTTGAGATATAAGCAGGTATCAGATGCCCCGGATCCCGGTGTTTCTTTGTGCTCTACTGTGTCCCTCCGGATATTATGGCTACTCTTGAAACCGTTCCCGAGTGGGGTCCTGCAGTTGGCGTTTTCATTAAGAGTTGTGCCTCTACTGAAATGTCATTAGAAGGTGTTGGTGTTCCCGCTGCTTTCAGACGAATTTCTGTTGGCAATCTGCTACGGAATTGAGTCCAGATCTCTAGTAGGGTTTGTGTCGTTACTGCTGACTGTAACACAAGTTTTAACAGCTTGGGACCGCGTCCCTTATTGTTTGGTGATATGGGGATCCTTGTCAACGAGGTGACTACGACATTTTCGAGAGAAAGAGCCTCCTGGATATAGTGCCATTGCTCGCGGTCGTGCATCTGAGCATCGTCGGAAGAGGAATCAGCAAGCTCAGGAACACCGTGAGCAATCACTGTTTTCTTAGCTTGACGTTTTCTGTACCTCTCTTTGTTAGCGGGATCCACTGAATGTTCTTTCCACGGGATTTCGGGCAGTATGCGCACTCCACTTGAATCGTTGCGGAGACGATTCGCAGACAGCAGAACGTCCTCAGTCTCCTCCGTCGAGTTTAGTGTTACACGAAGTAACCGGGGTTCGCCGTAGTGCAACGCGTTTGGGTGACGCGAGATTCTTTTTAATGTCATGGGGTTAACATGGACACCGATCGACGTACAGCTGGAACCCAACTGATTTCGATCGTCCATCAACTTACCCTTAATTGTATTAGATTTGGATTCGGGGACATTGTGCATACAAGGTTTAGGGCACTAGTACCACTTTCTTCTTCGCATTTTGATGTGAAGCGCTCGATTCGGATATCTGATTCTGAATTTGAGCTTATAACTTTTTCAGAAAAACGCGGGCACCGACAGAATATTTCACTAGAATATGACGTGCTAAGAGAATATATTCCAGATCTCATGTCTTACTCACGGTAACCGAGGTTCCCTTACGTACTTACATGATGGGTTTCATAAAATGTGTATAAGAGTAGTTGGGAGGACTTTGAGTTCTAGTGATCAGCTTATCTCAGCCGCTGATTCGCTGGTCTATATTTTCAAGACTCGCTAGTGGTTCGTGGACATTTGAACACAGCACGGACATCACCATGTGGTTCCGTATTACCTACTCATATTGTTGTCAATTTGAGTGGAAAGTTGTCGTTTGGGAATGTCTGTCTTGCCTTGTGTGAGACACGCAAAGCTACCGCACGACTGCGCATAGGCAACGTCAACAGTCGCAATGTATATATGGGTAAAGTGTTGTGGTCCAGCCAATAACGGTGGTCATCTTGCAAATTGTGCATAATTCTTCATGCATTAAAGCAATGCTTTGAGTCTTCGAAGACTGTTAAATCGATCTGTCGTCACTGCGCTTTGTCAAAAATGATGATCGAATTTCTCCGGGCTGTAAGCAGATTTGCTAGACAGTCCTTTTCGTTTAACTGGTATTGTGTTAGGGTTACGAAATATGCTGATCCGCTACTCGAGTAGAGTGAATTCACAGTAATAACCTAAACCAGTTCAAGTTGCTCTGCTAACGTAACAGCCAGCGTTTCGCAGCCTTCGTAAGGATAAGAACAATCATAAATACGAGAAAAGCTGAACACATCGCTTGCCGAGGAGTAGTATATTAGCGTTCACCATATCAGAGGAATTAGAAGAAAGGGAGCACCTAAATTCCGCCCATTAAGACCGTGCTCCCCGTTGCGTGAGAACCAATTGACCGTAGGTAAAATGTACGTTGACTAGATACGCAGACAACTGTGTTCGTAAAATCAGTGATATCCTTCCTTAAGAAAAGCCGTGCTCCTCCGTAATTCGTTTCAATTACTTCTTCCCTCAAGCAAAATGAATCCAACCGGCGCAGACGCACCAAACTGTGTGCCGTTTGGGTTGGTCGCCAATTCCAAATCAGCAAACAGCACACACTATGAACGGCAAGCTTGGCTTTAAAACCAGACCACTGGGACAGCGTTGCGTGCCCAAAGGACGAACGCTTCTTGGGGGCACTGGCCACGTTCGACTCAGCAACAACCGGCGACACTGACACCAAACGCTTGGGAAGACGCACGTGGCACTTCTGGACGCCACGGAGTTTGAACGTGTTGAACATGGTTCTCAGCCAATCTCCCATCTGTGTGAGATTGCCATGTGCGAAGTGGCCGACTTCAGTGGCCTTTGTGCTATGAGTTTCTTTGTCCTCCCCATCCATTTAGCTTCCAGCTCCACCAATGATCCCATTTCGTAGAGTAAAACATAACATTATTTTCTTTTTGCCTAGTAGCCGGCTGGTAGCTTACCGGAAAGATGCCTATCCGTTGCTGGTAAATCAGCTAGCATGCAACTGTTGTATTTACATTACTTTTCCAAAATGTATGGCGGCACAGTAGCTGAGATGTTTCCCACATTTGGCTGACGGGTATAATGACGATAATGATGGCGTAAACAGCGGGTATATGTCATTTTAAGGCACCCAAAATAGTCTACCCAAAGTTGCATTCAGTACAATGAATCCTATTTCTAACCACGGTGGTCGTGTTTGGAGTACAAGCTGCATGCGATTCATCACATACCGACTCGTCAGGTACTCACAACAACACTGGGTATGCCACCGGTACTAGCAATATAATTGCCATCCTGATTGCCACGAATCCTAAGTTCCGCTATAGTCGTGAAAACCATTGTAAATCTCCGATTGCGATTCCCGATAGATAACGCTGGGCATGTTGTAACAATTGACATGATGCATGGAAACGAAAGAAAGCACAACACGTTAATTCAAATGCACTTATATCATTGGAATACGAGAGATGTACAAGTCTATGAAGTGCAATGAGCAGGCGTAACCGCTTCTCACGTGTTGTATCGTTCCGTTGCAATGCTCTGGGCTCTAACACAGTACGGTCCAGGAAGCGTATCCTCGACTCACTCTTGCAGAGAATACCCGCAAGATCTTCATTGAGCATATCGGAATCATACCCTCTCATAACCAACATCACGTACGCCTTTATGATTCTCGGAATACCTACAAGAGGATTAAG